ACTACTTTCCAACTCTTCTCAAAGAATTTGATTGAGAAACAGCAGTTATGAAGAGTATCCTGAGAAGTGTGCAGTTGGTATATTAACTCTATAATATATCCATGATTGATTAATCCAGACCAGCTCTTTCTTTGTAGAATTTCTTTTATTGAAATTTGTTGCTGTACTTGCCATAGTAATATTCTTGAGGACTGCCTGGCTCCTCTGCTTGTTAGCTGTGTGTCCTTGTTTGGGTAAACCATTTAACCTCTTTGTAGCTCAGTTTTCTCATCTACAAAATGAAGACAGTAATTGTATCTATCTCTTAGGGTTATACATGGATTACATGAGTTAATTTATGTAAAGTATTTGGCACCTAGTAAGCTCCCCATAAGTATTAGCTGCTATTATTATTGTTATTTCTATTAACTCATTAACACTTTTCTTTATATGATGCTCTGACCCATGTGGCAAATTTTTCTCAATTTCATTATCAAGAATTATAGTGCTGCTGCTCTTTTGGTGTCAATGTGACACCAAGTCATTATGATTCATGTAACCTTTTTTTTGTCACTCTTTTTTTGTGTTCAATATTAGAAAGATTAGATGTGCTTTTTAGGTTCTTCTTATAATGTATTCTGTGTGTCATCTTTACCTTCCTTGGTTTTATCTTCCCTTTTTTAGTTTTCTTTATCTACTTGTTTTAAATTTTATAATATTATACATATTTATTAATAATAAAATTTATTCATACTTTTTTACAAGCCAACTTAATTACTTTTTAAAACTTTTCTGGGTTCATATATGTGGTAGAAATGTGTATTTTTTACACATTTGAGGTGATACTCTGTATACACTTTGATATCCTACTTTTGGTATAATCATTTAAATTTTCTATAAGAAAAATTATATATTCATTAGAATGTAAAATTTTACTTATAAATATTCATATTTAAAGAGAAAGGTAGCTCAAATTTCTTTATACAGTAAAATTTTACTATAATACTTTCAGTTGTCTTTCAGAATATACCTCGGAAGACTAATTCTAATCCAATTATAGCCACTAAACATACAAATGCTTTTTGCACTTATTTTATGAAACTAATGACTTATATCCAGGTTTCTAAGAGAATCTCAGAAGAAATTAGTGTTTATCATTCTAAACACTAGATACTAAAAGCCTTAAGATATATAATTGTTTTAGGGTTCAAATCTGTATTCTCTAACACATTTCATTCAGTTATGTTTCTTCTTATTTTAATGGGGTGTTTCTGTTTTCAGAAGGATTTCTTCATTGCAAATCAAAAAACTCAAAATGACATAGAATCTTAAGAGATTATATATGGGTATTTTCCAGGGATCTAAATGAAGATGAGGTATTGAAGGTTAGACAATGGTAGCTCTAAAGGAATTAGATTTCATGTCCTGTTATGTTAAAATTTTTAAGGAAACAGAAAGAGGAAGTGGTTCAGGCTCTATGATATCATTAGCGCTATTTATATTCTCTTAAGTTCAGAGGTATCAGGGATAAGAAAATATATGCAAAAATGGAGATATTTATCTTTCTTAATTTTTATTAGTGTACTTTCAAAATGCTCAGATGGAATAAGCACACTTTCTTTTTCTAATTTTGTCTTTCCACTTTAAGGATGTGTATGTAGGTGGGAAGAATATGGAAATGATATACTTTCAACAATTCCATGATGTAATACATGTTAAAATAAATAAAGGTATCATACCAATTTCATGGTAATCAAACCCAAATATCCTATAGACAGAAACACTTGAAAATGCTGTTACTCTATTTTAAAGATTAGCTTATTATTGAAATTAATTCATATCACTGACCCATTTTAGACTATGCTGAAAAAGTTATGTTAATTAAGTTCGATTAAGTTCAGTTGTTCTGGGAAAGTTTACTTTTACTTTCCTTATACTTTCACACAATTGAAAATAACTTTCACATCACTGAAAATAATTTCTGACTATAACTAATACTGTGAAAACTGGGGCCAATTATCTCTTTAAGGAAAAGCTGGAATTTCATATTTTCTCCCAGTATAGGATCTTAATTATGAAAACCAATCACTTGTCTTAAGGGGAATGCTTTTTTTCTCTTTAGGAGGGTTTTTATTTTAATTCAGAGATATATTAGAAATGGAGAATAGCTCTTTTATTTATTTGTTTAAAAAATATATAATTGATTTTAGAGAGAGGAAGGGAGAGGGAGAGAGAGATAGAAACATCTGTGATGAGAAAGAGTCATTGACCGGCTGCCTCCTGTATGCCCCCTGCTGGGGACTGAGCCCACAACCCGGGCATGTGCCCTGACTGGGAATCGAACCATGCTCTCCTGGATCATAGGTCGATGCTCAACCGCTGAGCCATACCAGCTGGGCGAGAATAGCTCTTTTTTAAAAATGATATTATGCAGAGAGTGTAGGTGATAAAACTGAATTGAGCTAGCCTCCTAAGAAATGCCAAGTATTTTCCATTTTCTATTTATACCTCTGAAGAGTGTAAAGAGGGAGAATATCTCTGGTCTGTAGTTGTGGTTGGCATTAACAGCATTGAGCTCTGTTATCTGTTATTGCTTGTTGTGTAGCAACAAATTATCATTTTGTTTACTTCATTAAGTATAAGGGAGTCTTAGGTTGGGAAAGAGGAATTCTATGTATTGATTGTCTTTGTCATGATTGTTATTAGTAAATGTTTACTTACTTGAATGGAGCAAGTATTGTAGACATTGTGTGAATTAACAAGATATGAAAGTACATTGGAATCATCACCATGAAGCATTGTTTATTCATGTTGTTCACAGAATGCTGATTCAGGATGTGTTGGTATGAGAGTGAAGAATTTTCTCTGTTGAATTTTTCTTTTTTAAGTTAACCAGTTGCTAACCTTAGCTCCTTAGGAGTCGGTACCTCTTATGCCAGAGTCACATTCCTCATCTCCATTCCTGTGCCCAGGCAGAAGACTCAAGAGCTGGGTTTGGGTCAGGATCATCATCTAATTTCAGCTTGAAGCTGAAATTTTCAAAATTAATACTTATCCATTTCCTTAAAAATATGGTATCAATGGGATGCCCTCTTCATGTTACTTCCTCTCTGAATACCAAACAAGAATACTTAAAGGAAAAAAGGCCCACTGTTTCTTTTTCCCCCCTCATTTTTTTAAAACTTTCAATTTATGCCATTTTGTTAAGCAATTTGTAAATCCTCATGCAATCTTATAATTCCTATTAAAATGAAAGGGTTTAAATGCATAGGGTGAGATAAAGTTTGACTTTAACTTAATGTCTCTGTGTTTCCCACCTGGGAGGCATATCAGATATCACCTATGTAATGTTTAATAAAAAACAAGTGGTAAGCCCTACTTTGGACCTGTGGAATCTCAATCTTCAGGCTAATGAGGCCTAAGCTTATATATTTTTCAGAAGTTCCTCCAGCTCTTTCTGATATGTATCTTTGATTTAGAACCACTGTGCTAAAGTATGTTTTCTGTTTGTTTTATTCTCTAGGACAGTATGTGATGTAATTCTGTGGTGAATATTTTTCTGGAATAAGTAGTATCAAGAGGTTTTTTAAAACTTAACCATCTTTATGTTTACTCTAAAAAGATTTTATATATGTATACTAGTATATGTGTACATATATATATACACACATACATACTTGATTTTTTTCATCAGTTGATTATGAAAATGACCCACAAACATTTATTTTGATTTGTGCTACTTTTCTTGCAGAGTGATCCATTTCCTGGTGTGTAGCACAGCCATGAGTGGGAATGATCTCATTCTCACCATGAACCATCTTAGTAAACACTGATGATGGTGATAAATTTAGTCTTGGCTGTTGTAACTGTCTTGTCAGCTTAGAATGACATGCTCATATAGTTTGCATAGAATTTAAAACTCATAATTGAGAAATTAAATAAAATTAATGAGTTAAGCCAAATTTTGATAATGTGCCAAAGCCAGCCCTTTGGGGCTATGGGGACTTACTGAGTTTGAATGTTATTGTTTCTTAAGTGTCTTTATGGTTTAATATAAGCCTATTCGTACTTCCTGAGTCAGTATTTTTATGATAGTGAGAACATTGGTTTTGGTACATATATGTTTCCATTGTGAATATAAGCAAATTCATTAGTTTTCTATCTGCTTAAAACTTGAAGTGGGTATCACAGAATTTACAAAAGGTGAATTTTGCATTAAAATTGCTTTCTGTTTGATATAAGTGGCACTAAAATTATCTGAAGCTGATAACAGAAAAACTATTATCTTCAACATTAACACATTTAAGAAAAAATTGTTCATATTATATGGCACCAGATTTTTTTAATAGCACATAGACTTTTATATGCCACTACTGTTAATAGTTTGCTTAAATCTGTTACACTGTTTTTGTGCTAGCACATTATGTGAGTTAAAAAATTGCTTGTAAGTGTCATATTATTGTTTGTCAACTCCCTGTATCTTAGCTGATGACTGTTCTCTGCAGATTCCTTCATTTTCAAGCCCCTTTAAATATAATGAGTCACTTTGATGGTCCCTAGCATGACATTTCAGGAGAACTCGTCAACTGCAAGAAAAGGCATATTATTGATGAACATCTCTACCAGTTGAGTTTGTATGGCCTCTGATTCTTAGAAAGTAATCCATACATGTTCATCCCTTTGGGAACAAAGCTGACTGAGTTAATTCCATTGAAATCATGTGGAAACTACTGCTGTTATCTGTGTAGATATCAAATGAACATTTTAAAAGGGGAGAAATGCGAAATTAAAAGGAAAAAAACCACCCCTCACCCTTACTGTGTTATGTGGATAAGTAAGGAAGAAACCCTCAAATGGCCAAGAAAAGCTCTGAATATCTTTTTCTTTGATGTGTTGGAGATCAATTCCCAGTTGTTGTATGTAATGTTCAAAGAGTGTAACTATAAAGCTAAATAAGCAGCCATCCATGTCTTAAAAATTAATTCCACATTTTTTTTGGTGGGTGGTGTGTTTGGTTTTAGGATATGACAGCACGTGATCTGCTGCAGCAGAGGTACACTCTTCCCAATGGAGACACTGCCTGGCGCTCCTCGCCCCTTGTCAATGCTGCTCTGGAGGGAAAGCTGGTCCTCTTGGATGGCATTCATCGGGTCAACGCAGGCACACTTGCTGTGTTGCAAAGGTTTGCATGTGTCGCACATGCCAAGTAAACAATAGACATGGAACTCTTATCTTTTTTAAAATGTAGATCCTTAAAAACATATTATTCTCTATCCAAGTAGAACAGCAGATTTTTAAGAATGTGTGTTTTAAGAAAACTTTTGGTAGTGATTTTGAAAGATTTTATATTTGCTTATTAATAGATGCAGCATGTCACACAGCTCAAGTTTCTACAGTTTGTTGGAGTGAGCTCCACTGTTTTCAAACTCCCTATGAATCATAGATTTACATTACTGGTTGATCTCGTTGGAATTTTTTTTGAGAGAAAATGTAGTTCCTCCTATAAAATGTGTAATAGCTGTTTTATTATGTTTTTAAGCTGAAGAGCTCACTTTGTGTTCACAAAGTCGAACATTTGTTGTTCTCATATTGCAGTTTTAGGTGGGGAAAATATCCACACATTCCTAATTAACTGGTCTTGAATTTAATGTTAAGAAAAAATTTCATGTGTGACATTCATGGAAAATATTCCCAACCTGTGTCAGTAATGATACTAATTTTTTCTAGTTGTTCCAGCTTGATTCTATCACTTTTAGACATTTGGTTTTTAACTTTGACTTATCAGGAAAGTTCAAATAAGTGGAATAATTCCCCAACTAACTATTCAAAGTTTTTTTCCATTAAAAACTTGTAGTTACTGAGTGGAATTAAAGATTCCAAAAACATTGTGTTAATCCTGATTAGATTTGAGAGCATTTAAAATTACTTTCAGTGATTTACTATAAACAATCAATAGATTTATAATTTTTTCTCTTCTAAACAGACAAATGCAGACACAAACAAAATAACACTCCCCCTTTTATTAGCTATCTCTTGCCCATTAGGCCAAGTAGTAACAATAACAGCAGCTACCATTAATTGAGCACTTACTCTGTGCTGGGCATTATGCTAAGCCCGTATATCTCAGGTTTTCAACTTTGGAATCACCTTGTGGGCATGAAGCTTAAAAATTACTGATGCCTGAGCTCTAGTCAACTTGAAATTTCAAAAGCAGATTCTAATGTGGAGCCAAGGTTGAGAACAACTGTATTAAGCACATGCCTTTCATCAACTGTTTAATTTTCACAGCACTACTATGAGGCTGATATTATAGCCCTAATTTTATAAAAGTTTAAAGAAATGGAGTAGTTCTACCCTCCGTATTCATTCTTCTAATAATGTACAGGGCTAGTTTTGAACCCAGGTCCAACTGACTCCATTGCCCATGCTCCTTACCTCTGCATTATGCAGTCTCCCTTCCCCTCAGTTCTTATCAAGTAGACCTTGTGTGGGGCAACTGTAGTGTGGGCATCAGGAGACTCCATGGTTGGTGTAAGATCTAGAACAGAACTTTTCTGTTCTGGAAGACAATGCTATTGTGCTGTGGATAGTTAGGTCAACATCATAGTGGATATATGAAATAGCACTAGTTATTTGTTTATAAAGATTTTTGATATTTTAAATCCTGTAATTCCAAAGATAGAAATATTTTGATAATACAACTATTAGTTAAAAAGTTACATTGGACCCAAGGGAGCATGTGCCAGCTGCCTTGTACATTAATATGCACCTCATGGTTATCCTGAGTCACTCATTTAGCTGTTTCTTTTCATGCCCTCCTCCTTCCCCTTTCCAGCTCCTCCCTGTTCTCCTCCTCCCTGTCCACATCTAGTATCCATGACTACTGCCCTTCAGTACAGAAACCAATATTTTTGCCAACTATAATAGCATTAGCCAACTTGAAATTTTGAAAGGTGCACCTAAAATTGTTAGACTCAATTGTCAGTAATAATGGACATTATTAAAAGGTTAACTGACTGATTCTACTTCTAATAACTTCACTGTTCAAAACTGATTATTTTGTTTTCTAACTTTCCTTTATCTCATTAGGTTGATCCATGATCGAGAACTAAGCCTCTATGATGGCTCCAGGCTGCTGAGAGAAGACAGGTATATGCGTTTAAAAGAGGAGCTGCAAATATCTGATGAGCAGCTGCAGAAGAGGTAATTTTGGATACACTACACGTACTGTCAAGGCACACTTAGTGTGTCTTCTTTTTTTTATTCTTTTAAACTTAAGGTCAAGCCAAGATAACTTTGAACAGCTTAATAATTTGGTGTCCTGGGCATGCTCATAGTTATGACACCAAAGGGTTTGCTGTCATAAAACTTGAGGTTACTACCCAAGATGAATTCTGCACTCTCAGACTACTTTCACATAAGTGTTTCAACATTTTATAAGGACATGAATTTTAAGAAGGTAGTTCTTTTTCTGTTGCCCTAGCCAATTAAGTTTTTGCCCTATACCTTGTCTCTTTCAACAAATAAACAAAAAAGTTTCATCGTTAACTCATCCTATTCCTAAGAAGTCATCAGTTATTACTGGAGTATGCCACCTGATGCAGGATTATCCTTTGTGGCTTCTTTAAACATTTTCCAGAGACATAACCACCAAATGCAATGTATAAGACTTGATGGGATCCTGGATCAGGACATAAAATGAAAACAGCTATACAAGACATGGTGGGGACAATTGGGAAAGTTTAAATATGGACCATATAAATTACATGACATTAAATGAATATTAATTTTCTTAAGTAGCATAGTAGTATTGTGGTTTTGAAGGATACTGTTCGTATTTTTAGGAGCCACATGCTGAGATATTTAAGGGATAAAGTAGAAAGATATCTACAACTTACTTCCAAATGTTTCAGGTAAAGAAAGACATACAAACACATACATACCACACGAAGAGAGAGAGATCAAGAGAGCGAGAACATAAATGTAAAATTTTAACAATTGGTGAAATCTTGGTGAAGGGTACATGGGTGTTCATATTCTATTCTTTCAAATTTTTGGTGGGCTTGAAAAATTTCAAAATAAAAAGACTGAAGGAAAATATTTCTTTCTGCTGTATACTATACTTTTCCTTAGAGGAGGTTTGGCAAATATAAGTTATTTTCTGTCTCATTACATTTTAAGGGCTATTATGACATAATTAGCGATTGCTGCTTTGGAGAATTCTTAGTCACTTAATTGGATCTTATTTAATTAAAGCTTAACTTCAATCCAAGGGGTTTGCTGTCATTAAAATTCTACAAATGGTAATTGTTTATGTTTTAAGAAGAGTTTTGTTTAAAAATTGCCTTGGAATTTTTTCATAGAGAGGAAATGTTAGATGTACTCTCTCTGTATAAATTATTTTAAAATTCACTTGATGGCACAGCTATTTATGCTTCTGAAGTGCACATCATCTCATTTCTCTAGTGGTTTGATTGAGTGTTAGGGAGGCAAGTATGAAGATCCCATTGATTTCGTACCTTCAGTTTATGACATTCAGCTTTTGCATGTGACTCATTTGTCAGGGAGAATTTTTCATTTTTCAGGGAGATCAATCAAAGCAGTTGGGCAGTAACTCTCAGCAAGCCTGCCCATCAGTTTCCCTTTGGACTTCAGGAGCATTGTGTTTGTAGCCAAACATCCAGGAAATGAAAACCCTTTTCTGTGAAAAGTACTCAAGTTCTCCCTAATGGTCACAGGCAGTTTTACAAATGAAAACACTTTCAGGAACAGAGTAGCAACTGAGCATTACATTCAGGGTTTGGCTCAGAGTGGTTAGTTGTACTCCTTAAAAGTGTCACATCTTTGTCACTGTTGATTTTCAACTCTCCTGTGAATATAAACCAGCCCCCGTTCTATCTGCAGAGATCACTTTGAATAGGTGGAGATGGGTCATAGCACTGCTTGGTTTCCTTCATTTACTTTTTATTTTTATTTGAATTTTTCATTATTGTTAAACATTCATGAAACTTGAGCTGTATAGTTTTTCAGGTCTTTTAATTTAAAATATCAGTCCTGTCATCTGTTCTAGGACACTCCCATTTGACACCTCAGTAGCTACCACTTTCAATTCATAGCTGTTTTTTTTGGTATTTACCTCCATATCACTAAACAGGATACTTTCAGTGATGTTCCTTGATTTATTTTTCAGTGTTAGGCACTATCTAGTGACTTCCTACTATGGAAAATTAGGGTTTAGTATTCTTTCATTACACATACATACTTCCTATTCCCTATTTCTCCTAAATAGTCATGTAGCAATTTTGTTTGGAACTTTATTGAGGGTTTGCGTTTTCACAGCGTAAGAACTATACATAGCCGAGTCATTCAGTAAACTGCAGTTGTTTATCCTTCCTTGCACACATTTTGTTTTCCTAAAGTTAATACTTCCCTACATATGAAAAATGGCAGATATATAAGTAACTAATTACAATGCAGCTTTTAAATGTTAGAATAGAGATCTGTATAGTAATGCTGTGGGAACATGGAGGAGGAAGTGACTGACCCTCTTTTCTATGTATTTGTCACTTTTCATCCAAACACTTCCCTGTTGTCTAAATCTCCTCTCAGCACATTGGGGCATCTATCAGTGCATCTCCTGTCAATTTAATTTTTCTCCCTTAGTGTATTCTGACGAGCACTAATTGGGACTTGCTGTTCTTCATACTTGTAGCTTGTATGTCATTCTAGAGCTCTCTCCCCTCCCACTTACCATTTCCTCTGGTTTCTTTTCCTGCAGCTTTCATTAGTTAGATGTCAGAATTACATTCTGACAATTTGTCAGGACTTCATTGACTTCATTCAGAGGCGAGATGTCCAACAACTGATTCTCCTCTCTGTCAGAAATGTATCTACCATTTCAAAGTCTAATTCTTTTTCTTATCAGAATCTGTTTCACCTGGTGATAATGGATTGTTGGTAAATTTATTTACATTTTCTTGGTTAACCTTGGTTAAATTTTTTTGGCCCATTTTTGTCTTTCTGAGAATAAGTATGTACTCTTGTAGAGTTATATTGGGTTAGATTTTTCCTTTAAGCCAATTGACAGTATTTCTTTCAAGGCTGTGTTTATTAGATAGAGAGCTGGCGCTCGGCCGGGCGTGGCTCAGCAGTTGAGTGTCAACCTGGGATCCAGGCAATCGGGGTTCGATTCCTGGTCAGGGCACATGCCCGGGTTGTGAACTCGATCAATGACTCTCTCATCATTGATGTTTCTATCTCTCTCTCTCCCTCTCCTTTCCTCTCTCTGAAATCAATAAAGATATATCAATAAAGATATATTAAAAAAAAAAAAAAAAGAGAGCTGTCACCTTAACTAAAAGGACAGCATAAAAAGCAGATTTGTACTCAGTGAGGACATTAATTCATTTCATGTGTTGTTCTTGTAAGTAATATGGCCCATTATATAGCTTGGATTGATTTTATATGCTATTTGTATCTAATATGTTACTCTTGGCATTAGCACTGGAACTGCAAATTAGAAACTCATAACCTAAGTCATCTATCCTTTTCATTTTTGTACCTAATAGCAAACTGAAGTTTTCCAAATAATTATTTCTGATAGTCTTTAAACAAAGTCAGCTATTAATGTTTGGGGATTTTGAGATAGAGAAAAAGGTCAAAGGTAATGAAGGGAAGGCAAATTTAAGAGTTTCTTTGCCTCTAGACCCAGTTTGGTAAATTTAGACATCTGTTGGGCTTTCAGGTAGGAACAATTTTTATATTTGTGTTTGGCAGGAATCCTTTAGTTACAAGTAACAAAAAAAGTTTAATTGTTGTAAAGGAACTTAATGGTATCTCATATTTTCAAAGGAGGGGCAAGGATGCAGTTGCACCTCAGGAAATAACCGGAACCTAGGACTTTAATCTTGTCAGGACTCTCTGTCTATACTTTATCTCTGTTTCTGATGCCATAACACCTGGCACATAGTAGATTACGTAGTATTTTTGAATGAGTAAGTAAATCTTAACCTAAATAAGGATAAATGCTAGGAGACTCAAAGGTAATTTTAGTTTTAGATGATCTTCTAAGCTAGCAACATATCATTTATGAACCTTCTAATTAGGAACACTTTGCCTTTTAATGACATGTCTGATACCATAGAGTGTCATAATTCACAGCTAACTACCAAGCCTTTCAGCTTCATAGTGTGAAACACTATATTTGACTCTTTTGCCAAACTTCATTGTATATCATGTGGGTGATATTGTCAGTTTTAATCAATTCTACTCAAAACTCCAGTGGAAATAGTACCTTTAGAGAGTAATATTATCCCTGCTAAGAGAAAGGAGAGATAAAACTCAAACACAGGCCAAGATATTCAGAAAAAACAAAATACAGGTACATAACTGGCATTTCTCCAGAAATGGACTATATCCATTACCATTAACTATTATAACAGAACCTAATAGTTAAGTGATTAGGCAGCTAGAATATCAGGAGGACGGATATGTGTGGAGAAAATCATAAGTACTCTAAAGATTTCAGGTAAGAAAAAGTCCTCCAGATACAACAGGTAGGTTTACCAAGCCCCTGGCTGCATGATCTGTAATTTGAGAGGCCACACCATAATTTGTAAGCCAAGGAAAAGCAATTTTTAGAAATGCTTATGTGAAAAGTCTGAATGAGTGAAAACTATCAGACATTTCATTTCTCTAGGTAGAAAAAAAGTCTTATTTACAAATATGTAAGCAGGGCATAGGATGATTTGTCCAAAGAGGAAATGGTTACAACGTGAGCAGTACCTGAAAGTCTTGACGATAAGTGATCGCTCAGAATTTCTAGTAATTAATTAGTCACATAACAGAATCTGGACACAAAAAATTCTGTGATTTGAAAGCTAAAAGGGAAAGTTATTCTACTTTCCACTCTGCTAAGTGGTTTGTTATAATCCAGAAATCTCTGCTTCATGGCCCAACAATAGATGTTGGATTCATCCTTAATCTCTTCTCTCCTAGTTAGAAAAGCAGTTAACATGAGAGCAAGCTAGGTGGTTAGAATTTAAGTAAAATGATGGTCATTGCTCTGGACGTATATTGCCTGTGGCTGGCTTTTTGGTACTGACTCTAGTGGAGTACCTGAGTGACCTGGCCCAATTAAAAGAAGGCAGTTTCTGAGACAGGTAGGTTAGGCAGAGAAATGTATGCTGACTGCAGAAACAGTTATCAAGCTATTGAATAACAGGATGAGAAGGACCTTTTTGTTTGCTAGGTTCTCCCCAAAGGCTTCTTTACATATAAATAGGTCATATGGAACCTGATGCTAATAGGTTCTCCAAGTCTGAAGGTTAGAGAACTGAGTACTCCTGAGGATCTGCCAACCACTTTCAGGTGGTTTGACGTACTGGTGGGTAATACAAAGGCTGAAGTGGTAAATGGGAATTAAGACACAAGCACTATTAGAATTTAAACTAAAGGGTAACTTTAATTTTACTAGAATTTAACAACAAGTAACAAGTGAAGCTAAAGATATGGCTTAACTTTAGATAAATAGATACTACTCCATAAATATGAAAAATTTAAAAAGCAAAAAGGTGTTACAAAAAGATTTTAAAAATAAAAATATTGGTGTCAAACCCTGGCTGGTGTGCTCAGTGGTTAGAGCATTGGCCCTTGGACAGAAGGGTCTCCAGTTCGATTTCTGGGCAAGGGCACACACCTGGGTTGCAGGTTCGGTCCCCAGCCTCTCTTGGGGCACGTGTGGGAGGCAATCAATCCATGTGTCTCTCTTCCTCCCTCCCTCCCTCTCTCCCTCTCTAAAAATCAATAGAAAAAATATACTTGAGTATTTAACCAAAAAATATATATATATATATATTGCAGTCAGTATGTTCATTTGGATGCTATGGATATAAATTTTTAGAGAATACTTTTCAGTGTTTCTCAGCAATAAAAAGGAATGGATTATTGATATACATAACAACATGGAAAATCTCAAAATAATTATGCTGAGTGAAAGAAGCCAGACCAAAAAGAGTGCATACTGTGTGATTCCATTTGTATAAAATTCTAGAAAATACAGGCTATATAATGTAACTGTAAATAGTTCCCCTGGGGGTGTGAGAAGGGGCAGAAGTGAGGGATTGCAAGGGAGTCTGAGGATACTTTGGGGGTCATAGAAGTTTTCATTTTCGTGATTGTGATAATGGTTTTATAGGTGTAAATAAATATAAAAAATTATCAAGCTGTACATTTTAAATATGCATTTTATTATATGTCAGTTACACCTCAAGCTATAATAAAACAAAAAAGGTTACAGTACACTCCAATCTTTTGAAAAATATGGTACATTTTTGTCAAATTTATATATTAAGGAACTTGAAAGAATAATATAGAAGTTTTCTACAAAGGCATTAATCATGAACCAGAAGAGGATTTTGTGATTGGCCTCGTATACTGGAATACTAATGTTCCACTTCAGAACCTAGAGGTTGTGCAGTTCTGTACACAGCCCCTATTTCCCCCTTTTTTCTCTGCATTATAGCAAACTGCATGGACACATTCCTTATTCGTCTTTATACCACCCATGGTCTAGTGTAATACCAGGAAAAGAGCAGACACTAAGTAAGTAAATAAATGAATTGCTGTAGTTCCTAACCGTCATTGCAAGAAACTTTTTGAAGACCTTGGATGGCAAGGACAAAACAAAGGTACATGACAGGAAATGAAAATAATGCTTCCTACTCAAAAGCAGCAGCTCTTCTAAATCTGGTCTTCTGTGAATTTGTGAAAGAAGGTGGATTCTCTGAATAAAAAGACAAAACCGATACATTCAATAATAAGTAATTAGACCCTTCACAGTCAGAGTTTAGAACTGTTCTTTGTCCATAAACATATTTAGGATTGTTTCTCAGAATCAGAACCTGCTTAAGGCTCTTTGTTTTGAGAGTCAAACACAAAGACTTAGGCATAAAATCCTGGATCTACCTTGTATTTTGTTAAAAATTTGCATGACCTAATTTGCTATCAAAGAGATGCTGGAGTTTTGGGGGAGGTAGGAGAGAAAGCTCAGATCCTAAATATCTTCAAACATAAGAGTAAGAGTAATAGGGTCCAGAGAAATCTACCCAGTGTCATTATGCTTCACCACTGATTTATAATAAAAACTGAGAGATTATAAACTGTTTTCACTCACAATAAAAAATAAATAAAATATTCAATAAAAATGAAAAAACATTAGAGCATAAATAATTACAACTGAGACTAGGCCACTGATCTTTACTGCTTACCTCAGATAACCAGAAGCCTTCTCTTAGTAAAATAAATTATTGGTAATTCACTATATTCTCAAGAAAATCTCACCCCTCATCTTTGCTCTGGTCAGTGGCAGGAAGGGACATATTTAGCAATCTATAGTATTTGTACTCACCCTTTCCCCAAAGTAGTTTTTCTCATCAAAGGAGGTAGTTCTATTTTGGTCCTTACTTCCTGTGAGAAATGCAGGCATGTGGTCTGGTGTATAGCCATCGTGCTATTTCTAACTGCCATGTCCATGGTATTCTTGGTGTTTTTGCAACAAGAGAAGTTAAGTCTCTAACATTTCTTAAGCCATTTTTAAGGGTATATTAGCCATGTGATTACCTGCAAAGAATGTAAAAGCCCTCAGAAACAATCAAGGTGTATATATGGTCTTGGTGATTAGGTCACAATAAGGAATTTCTATTCCCTTCCCCAAAAACTACTCTTGGGAAGTCTTATCTTCTTCTTCTTCTGTGTACCTTAGAATATTTACATTTTCAGATTCCCTAGCAGAGATTTAGAAAAGAGTTCACTTTAAAAGTAATAATGTTTCCTATAAAATGACAAGAGAGTAAATTATATAAAAGTTAAATTTTCTCCACCTTTTTAAGACCTAAGTATTATTATTGCCAATCCAAATTTAAATTTAATCCAACCCCTATGATGCTTAAATTTTCTATATTTTGAAAAGTCTCCTCATCTTGAATCATACTTCTTTGTCTTTCTAAGATTGACATATAGTTGATTCCTTGCAAGATAGGAGATTTTGAGGAGATCTGAATAAAGAAAAGGGACCTATGTACTGAATATGGATTGGATGGGATTTTGTTTCAAGGGACGATGGAGAAAATTTATTGTAGGCACAGTAGCACATCCAAAGCAGTGGTTTGTGCCAGGGATGGAGTTTCATCAGGGGTTATGGTACATCTTATATTAGCCGTAGATGATTCTTTTTTTGTTTGTTTTAATCTTCGGTTCTTAGAATGTCCTGACTTTTTTCAAGGTCTGTTTTTTGGATAATAGCTTTGACTAGATTAACAGCATTATAGACTTTTCATTGCCTTCGCTTTAGCTACCACGACCTAATTTCTAATGTGAAAGGTTATGTTTTTAAATTTTTTTCTCTTTTAGATCCATTTTTCCTGTCCATCCCTCCTTCAGAATCATCGCCTTGGCAGAGCCCCCTGTTATTGGAAGCACAACACAGCAGTGGCTGGGGCCAGAATTCTTAACCATGTTCTTTTTCCATTACATGAAACCACTTGTCAAAAGTGAAGAAATCCAAGTGATTAAGGAAATGGTAAGAGTAAGGCCAGCTCTAGCCTGCTGCCTTCAGTTTTTCTCTTTTTAAGGCACTCTTACTCCTTCTGGAGAAGAATTGGACATTTTTGGCTCTTTCTCCCTACTTACTCCCAAATGTCCTCATATAATGGTTCTTAAATGTTAACATTTTACAGAATAATCTGGAGGCCTTGCTAAAATGCAGATTGCTGAGTCAGTAGGTCTGGGATATGGTACATGAGAACTTGCATTTCTAAAGTTCTTAGGTGATGCTGATGTTGTTGCTGCTGGTCTTGGGACCATATTTTCAGAACCATGGATGTAAGGCTGTCTCTTAGATTCTGTAGAATATACTAAAAAGTCTTGGTCCCCTAAGGACTGTAATATATCCTATCCTATACTTACCTGGCTAGTTGTCTCGTGGCTTGAAGTATATGTTATCCATTACTTCAGTGTCTGCCTTAAGCAGGCATTGTGCTTAGTATTTTCTAGAGCTGTACTATTCAATGTAGCAGCACTGGCCATAAACTTCTAAAATTTAGTTTCTCAGGCTCTGGCTGGTGTGGCTTAGTAGTCGAGCACTATCTCATGCACCAAGAGGTCACCTGTTCGATTCCCAGCCAGGGCACGTGCGTGGGTTGTGAGCTTGACTCCCAGTAGGAGCCTTCAGGAGGCAGCCAATCGATGTTTCTCTCTTTCCCTCCCCTTCCTCTCTCTCTAAAAATCAATAAAAATGTATTTTTTAAAAAATTTAGTTTCTCACTCATATTTCAAGTGGTCAATAGCTACATGGGGACTTTTGGCTGACATATTAGAAAGCATAGGTAAAGAACCTTTCTATCGTCATAGAAAGTTCTGTTTGATGGTGTTCTAGATCACAAATAATTAACTTATTACATAAAAAGTTAACACTCATCTTCTTTAAAATATGAGAATGAACTTTTTAGGTCTCGTGAACATGGTTGTGGATAAAGGCATAGGTTTTAAATACAACTTGCCGTTAAATGCCAAATTCACTACTTACTAGCTTCCGTATCTTGGGTAAATTATTCAACCATAATTTCTTTATCTGAAGATGGGATAGTACTGCTTCTTATATCACTGGGTTAATTTAAAGGATAAATAAGATAAAGTATGTACTGAATAGAACTTAGAATTTTAAAAAGTTTCAGTCACTTAAATGACCAAAGAAACCCTGAGCAGCTTACTTCTGAAATAGCCACATTCTACATGTTCTTGTAATACCTCTTTGTGTTTTTTTTAAAAATTAAGGCCCGGCCGGGCGTGGCTCAGTGGTTGAGCGTCGACCTAGGATCCAAGCGATCGGGGTTCGATTCCCGATCAGGGCACATGCCCGGGTTTTGGGCTGCAGCCGATCAGTGACTCTCTCGTCATTGATGTTTCTATCTCTCTCTCTCCCTCTCCTTTCCTCTCTCTGAAATCAATAAAGATATATTTAAAAAGAAAGAAAAAAAATTAAAACTTTTAATTTCTTATTGTTTAAGTAAAATTTTTTTATAATTAATTATATTTAATTAGATTAAATTGTTATAGCTAAGGCAATCAGTGTATGTTATTTGGGCAACTATTCTTCAGAGTTCATTGATAAACTGATTATAGGCTTTGATATGCAGTTTAAAAGTTCTAAAAAAATGGACAACTTGAACATCCATCCTTTATCCAAGGATGTCTTATGTGACTTAGTAGACATAGACATAAGATAACTACTAAATGACTAAGTTTGGTTTCAGTAAGAAAATGCCTAAATTAGGGTTTAAAAATCATGCTGAAGCTAACAAAAAAGGAAATGATAGTATATGAAAGTTTTTTATAGGCATACTATTGTATATGTGTTTTTGAGTTGAGGCTCCTCTCAGTTTTATGCTAGTGATAGAACTGTAAATGAAGAAGAGTGGCTTGGTCTTAATTACCTGACTCTTAAAGAGAGAGCAGTGGGTGTGTGGGTATAGGTGTTTCCTGAGAAGATGAATAAGTAAATTTATCCATGAATTAAATGTGTAAGCTGTCATTGGGTCTTTCTAAAAATGTAATTCTAATATTATTTACTAAGTAGCCATAATTTCTGATTTATTGATCAGATATCCCAGTTCATTCTGTCTTTCCTCAATTCTCTCATAAAATAGGTCCCAAATATGCCTCAGGAAGCTTTGGACAAATTGTTATCATTTACACACAAACTCAGAGAGACACAGGATCCAACGGTAAGTCTGGATTTTCTGTTGCTGACAGGCTGCTGCTTTTGTTCTTGGAGTTTACTGCTTTAAAATCTGTTTTTTAAACTGGTGTTTTTATTCCTGTGTTATGCTTTGTTCTTTGCATATGTTTTACTCTTTCAATGATTTTAACATTTCTTCTAGCTCCTCATGTCTGATATCATGGAAAACAATTTGAGCTCTAGAGGCATCCTTGGCACTCCTGGGGTTTGGCACTGCTTCCTCTGTCTCCTATGCTGAGTGGTCTCATCTGTTCTTATGGCTTCAAATACCACCTCTATAATAATGCCTACATCTTTAGCATCAGCTTCTGACTACTCTTTTCTGATTTATTCTTTATCTCTAATTGTATTTCCATGCTGGGATAGTATGTTGGAAAGACCTAGGGCTGTTACTGTAACTATGAGTCTCAGTGTTCTCATCTGTAAAATGGGAACAGTGCCGTGTTCCGCATAAGGATGTTGTGATGATGGGATATAGAACTAAATGATCTTTCCCCTTTATATTGACCTATTCCTTATTTAATTTCCTGACTTTGCTACTAACCTGTCTACCAAATTACCTAAATTAGAAACCTTGACATCATTGATGATTCCTTGCTTTCCGGATATTTCTACTTAACCTGAAAGCAGATCTCATCCATTTAGCATCTTGATGTCTAATCTGTGTTCTTAACTATTGTCAGTAATTATCCTAGTATTGGATTTCATAATCTTTCTCCTAGAATATTGTTATTTCCTCTTATCTGCCCTTTTCACCAATACTCTATTCCTCTTGTGGCTCTCTGTTACCTTCCTGTGGCTGTTATAACAAATTACTATAAATTGGTGGCTTATGACAAAAGAAGTTTATTTTCTCACAGTTCTGGACACCAAAGTTTGAATGCCAGCAGGGTCACATTCCCTTCGGAGCTCAAAGGAGGACTCCGGTCCTTGCCTCTTTCAGCTTCTGGTGGCTGCCGGCATTCCTTGACTTGTGGTCACATCACCTTCCATGTCAGTTCCTTTTCTGCCCCCCCCTTTCATAAGGATACATAGGATTGCATTTAGTGGCAATCCAGGTAATCCAGAAAAATGTCCACATCTCAAATACCTTTAATGTTATTTGCAGAGTCAGCTGTGCCATATAAGGTAAAATTCACAGGTTCCAAGGATTAGGATGTGAATATCTTTGGGGGGATCATTTTCTAGCTTTCACGACCGACTTCATCTCCAGCTACCTCCCTCTACTCACTTTTCACCTGCCCTGTTCTCCTTGTTGCTCCTTGAACACACTAGTGCCTGCCTCAGGGCCCTTCCACTTGGTGTTTCTTCTTCCTCCATTGCTCCTCTAAGGTAGCTACAGGTTTGCTCCCTTGCCCCTTTTGGATTTGCTCAGATGTCTCCTTTTCAGTGAGGCCTTCCTGAAACACTCTTATTTAGAATCACACATCTTTCCCATTTTATTCCTTTCTCTCTGTTTTAAGGTTCTTCATAGGGCTTATTACCCTTCAACATAATACATGGTTTACTCCGTTGTTTTGTTTAATTCTCACCTGAGGACTTTCTGAGAGAGAGAGAGAGAGGGAAACATCAGTGAAAGAGAAACATCAATTGGTTGCCTTCTGCATGTCCACTGACCAGAGACTGAATCCCCCAGCCCAGGCATGTACCCTGACTGGGAATCGAACTGGCAGCACCTTGGTGCACAGGATGATGCTCAGCCAACTGAGCCACTCAGGCTGGGCTGCTTTACTCATTTTTTATTGTTCGTTTTCCTTCACTCAGATTTTAGTTCTGGGATGGCAAAGTTTTATTTGCTGTAGTCCCTTCTGTATCCCCAGCATCTAGAACTTTGCCTACTACATAGTAGATGTTCAACAAATATCTGTTAAATGGATGGGTGAATCTTTCATATTGTCCCAGGAATGATCTTTCCCAAATACATTTCCTAAGTTCTTCCATTCTTAAAACTATTAGGCAATGGATTCTCTTTTTCTATAGACTGAAGGACAACTTGCTAAGCATGCTTGCGGAGTTCCATCTCACCCTGGCTGCTTTTGCAGCCTCATTTCTTAAAGTACCCTCAGCTGTATCACACTTTGCTACTTGCTGTTTTCCAAGCCCAGCACTTAACCCACATGCCTCTGCTTTAGATGATGCCTGGAATGTTCTTTCTTTCTGTCCACTTGCACTCAAGTTCCCTGTTTTGTTGGGTGTCTCTCAGCCCCCGTAGGCAGAAATAACCTCTATATCCAGTCTGCTTTCATGACATTTGGCACATGCTTCTCATATTGACCTATTGCAACTGCATCACAGTGTATTTTTATCTCTTAAATTAGAATTTGAACTCCTTGAGGCCAGGTTTTCATTCTTTTATTCCCATTTCCCAGTCTGGTGCCTGGCACATAGTAGATACTTAAATGTTTGATGAAGGAATGAATAAATTGATTAATTAATAGATTGTCTGTAGAGTTTCATCTCCTTGAGATCATGTTACATTTTTGTAAAAGAAATAATTCTTTAAGAGGAGTAAGAGAAAAATTATTTTTAATAATTTTGATCAGAATCTTTATATCTTTAAGCTGAAGTACTATTATTAATCATGCTAATATGAAAAATCCTTACGGTATACTCGTAAACTGCATAACCATGGTAACTAAGGGAATGTGCTAACATCCTTACTTGCTTTTTTGGAAATTTGATATTATAAATGTTAAATAAATAAGGGATTTTTCAATTAAAGTACACTCAATTTTTAACGGCGGATGTGAGAGCAGAGATAACCAAACCCTTTATTCAACACCAAAATGACTGAATGTAAAGCTTTGTTCTGATTTTTTTTATACTGGATGTTATTGCAAAGCATTTTGATGTTAAGTGAGAGAGCTGGTATTTTTCAAGTCCATGAGAAATCCTTACTGATTACTGGAGTGAAATGTGAGGCCTGAACTGTGTCATGCATGGAATGAGATTAGAATGTGGTACCCTAGAAAGTTACCATCTGGTTTAATAGGACTCTTGTCATGGGAATCTCTTGTTGGATTCATTTGTCAAACATTTTCCATGATTTAAAGTAGGAATTTTTCATGGTCCCAGGTGTTAAGGATGGGAATTGCTGAGTCATATTTAACTTCTGATACTTTCAGTCATACTGGCTGAAATAATCTTATCCTCAATTCTTTCTTCTTTCTTATAACCATTAGTTGCCAAGTCCTTTGAAATATTTGTTGATCCCTTCCCTCCATTCTTTTTGCCAGTAACCTTACTGTAGAGCTTTATCTTTTTGTAGGCAGATTCCTGTCTCAGTTCTGCTGCCAGATTAGTCTTTCTAAAATCATGTTACTATGTTGCACATAAGAAAGTCCTGCTGCCTTTAGTAACCAGACCAAACTCCTCAAAGTGTCAGTCACAGGTTATTTGGGAGCAAGGCTTTCAGCAGGATCCTCCAATAAAGCTGGTTTCCTTATGTTCTGCACGTATTTCTTTTCCTTTTCCATTCATGCCTTTGTTCATAGCATTTCTTCTTCCCACTTGAACATTTTAAGCCCCTATGCAGTTGTCAAGTGCTTCACTTATTTTGGCATTAAATTATATGCTATTTTGAATTGTAACATTTTCTTTCTTATATTTAAATATTGTCTCTATGTCTAGAATGCAAATTTGTTGGAAATAAGGATGAACCAATGTTTGCTTATAAATGAGTTATTTGAAACGTAAAATGTGTTTTTAATAGAAAAAAAAGATTTGTCGTGAATGGTGGTCATGCTCCCAACCTAGTCCCCAAAGGGTCACTTAACCCATGTCGTAGCTGAAATATAAACTAATAGCAGACCAATGTTTCATAGAGCTATGGATAATGCATGAGGGAGGAAAAATTAAGTCATTCGTTCTTCCTTGGGACATACAGAAATGACCTTAAATGAAATGTCAAAACAAGCAAATATGTAGTATGTCTTCTGCATCCTCCTATTGTCCATTTTGAACCCTTTGTTAATATCATAGAGTCCCCTTCTTTGTTCCCTCAGGTGTTCAGTGCCACTATATGGCCCTCATCACTCTCTGTGACATTTCACCCTTGCCTCTTCTGCCCTCCCAAAGAGCTGGTTGCTTCAAAAGTTCTTTCCTCTGGTTTTCAATGAAAAACCTTTGTCTCCTAATGTTAGTGATCTAAGTTAGGAATTAGGCCAGTAATAATCAGATTCATTAAATTCATTCTAATGTACAGGTCACATGCTCTTCCTGTTAGGCTTTTTTTTCATTTTGAAGAGGCTGACTTTTAATAATAATTACTGGTGTTTGTTATGTTCCCATATGTATTTGACCTATGCTAAGTGCTTTAGAATAATTTTCTAACTTAACCCTCACAATGACCTTAAAGATGAAGGCATTGTTATTGCCATTTTAAAGATGAGGAAACTGAGGCTTGAAGCGATTAAGAAATTTCTCAAGGTCACATAACTAATAAATGGGAGCCTGATTTGTTGGATTTCAAAGCTTATAAACTTTACCATTAATTGTGCTTCCTGCCAAGATAATTTTAAATTCAAGTTAACAAATACTTATTGGTATTTACATGTCCTAAGCTCTGCATTAGCATTTCTACTATTGGGATTTGCAGGAGTATAACAAGTAAAATTATTCTGAGAGTATAGGGGAAGGATTCTCAACCCAAGTGACAAACTGGTTGACATCTCTGTGGTTAGCAGCCTACATTGCCTATTAATTTTTTTTCTGTATTTCAAAAGCCATAGATTTACTTAAAGCTCTAAGCATTTTCAGGACATCTTAACAGTTCAGCTTTGTGTAAACAGAAAAATAATTTAAAAATAGTTAATTGTACATAAGGGCTATTAAGTCAAGTGCAACCTGTATTATGTTATAACGCTTCTCCGTTTAACCTCTACCTCCTCCAAAAACATGTATACACAGCATTTAGTACAATGAGAATACTTTAATTAAATTTAATTGATAAACACTTTTTATAGATTAAAAAAACTATCTTCAAGAATGTTTTAATGTTAATTGGTTTCTGTTTATTTTTATTTATAATTCATTAACAGTACATATTTATTTTAAGTTTGGCCTTGTCCTTCAGGAATAATGAAGTCTGCTATGATACCCATCTAAAGGGACTTGCAGCAAGTTGAAACAAGACTCTTAACAGGCTGTCTTTGCCTTTTAATAGGCACAGTCACTGGCAGCATCACTTTCTACCAGACAGCTGCTGCGGATTTCTCGTCGTCTGTCACAGTATCCTAATGAAAATCTTCACAGTGCTGTCACTAAAGCCTGCCTTTCCAGGTAACCATATTCTGCTGTCTCACTGAATTCAAGTTTCTGCATCTTTGCTAAAAGAGTAGTGTAAGTTTAACTGATAGTCTAGGAAAAATAGTGCTCTGAATATGTACCTATCTCGGCCTTGTGTTCACTTTTCAGAACATATGTTATTTAGGCATAACAATTTTAAGAGGTATTTTATAGATAAGAAAACTTCTTAAGTACTTGGCTCAAGTCACATAGTGGTAAATAAAAGTGCATTTGAGCCTGGCTGGGCGTGGCTCAGCGGTTGAGTGTTGACCTAGGATCTAAGGGATCGGGGTTCGATTCCCGGTCAGGGCACATGCCCGGGTTGTGGGTTCAATCCCCAGTTGGGGGCGTGCAGGAGGCAGCTGATCAATGACTCTCTCATCATTGATGTTTCTATCTCTCTCTCTCCCTCGCCTTTCCTCTCTCTGAAATCAATAAAGATACATTAAAAAAAAAAATGTTTTAAAAAAAAGTGCATTTGAGATTTGAACGCTGGGGGTTCATGTGTTTTCTGAGTTAGTGTTCTTAATCACTGCACTTAGCACCTCCCAAATTTGCATTGGAAGTTTCTGTGCTTTATAACAGTACCCTGTTGCCCAAATTTAACAAAGCGAACATCTTTTCAGTCTACACTAACATTTTTCATATCTGTTTGGAAGTGATTATAAAACATTGGCTTATAGAATTTTCTTACAGAATCACACTTGGCATGAAACTATTTTAAAACAATAATAAGAAAGACTAAGAACAATATTCAGTAGACCCAGAGGTTCCTTTTAAACTTTCTTCATATGACTCGGTAATATTTTTATGCTGGTTATGACTATTGTTCATTCATTCCTTGAAATATAAAAGGAATTAAAAGAATCTATTTTTAATTTAGGAGAATCCATAATTACGCTTTATAAATCTTCAGTTTAGTGGACAATTTTACTTATCGTTAAGTAAGCTCCTGGGAGATTTAGATGGTGGCACTCTGACAAGGAGCAGAGTGCCCTTGCTTCCGGCCACAGACTGGATCTATAGCTATATTACCGCATAGCCAGCTTGGAAAAACAAGAGAAATATACCTGAGTGGACATATTTTAAGTAGGGAGCACTGAAGAAACATCATAGAGTGTGGTAAGAGGGGATGGGGGCATAGAAAGGGGGAATGCCCCCTGAAGCCAGTGCTGGGTTGCAAGGCCCAAGGATTAGAGGCTGCAAAGCTCCCTCCCCTTGGGAGTGTGGACTGGCATCCAAAAGCTGGGATCTCAAACCCAGAGTGGAGGAGAAGGGAAGGAGAGCCTGTGCATGGCAGGCAGAGGGAGCCAGGGGTGGTACAGTGTGCCTGCAAGAAGGGGATTATGCCTTCCCAGTGAAACATCATGCCTAATGGTGGCAGCCTGGGCAGGAGAGTTTCACCCAGATTGCTGACCACAGGAAAGGCTGTCCTGCAGGGTGTGGCTTCCGAACAGAAAGGGACCAGAGGGCTACACTCAGCAGCGACCTAAAGGGACCCTCTGCTTTCCTGTAAGGCATTGTGTAGAACCTCAGAAAGTATTTCAACTGTGTGGCACAGGGAAGGGGAAGAGAACCCTCCCACTGCCAGAGAGAGGGACTGGAACTGCCACCGGGGTGGATTGGAGAGTTTTGACCTGCTCTGAAAAGAGCCGGGATAGCACGCAAGAAGCTGCCCCTGCTTTACTGAGACCAGCTGTGCACAAACCTGCATGGGACTGACTTTGTGACCCCTCCTGCTTGGTTTTGAGGGGTGGGGACTCTGGGACCTTACAGGGTGGTTTCTCTGCCTGTTTGTTCCTTTTTGCGTTTTTGATTGCTGGCTTGCATTGGGGAGACAGACCAGCAAAAGCTGGGATTTGTGTTTGCATTGTGGAGAGTTTGAACTGAGCACCCTGTGAGATCAGCCAACCAAAACTGGGAAAGGAGGGGAGCAGCTCTCTCCTATCTCTCCCGCAGGCTAGGAGCACCACCCCCAACAGGAAAGGGGCTGGTTTTCTCACTGTAGCCCCAGATATCCTCTTCAGGGAACAGTTCTGAGGCAAAAGGGAGAACAGCTCACAGGACCACAATACAAGAGTACTCTTAGGAACTATTGATTGGGAACTGCAGGAAAAATTTAAAACCCCTTCTGGGGTCTGGGCAGGCAGCGTGCTCACCAGAGTCTCTTTTGATCAATCCCACCAAGCCAAGGCCAGCTGAAACTGCCCAGAAAGGGCAACAGACTGAATTCAATCTGAACCTGCAACAGACCATTGTATAGGGAAATGGAATTGGAGGATATTGTAGAGACCTAGGAGTTGGCTTTGAAGCAGAGACTAACTTCCCTACAGTGAGTGCCTGAAAGCGAAACCTCTAAGTAAGGGGAGCAATAGCACAAGCTACACTACCTGGCCTGCATCCTAAAGACTCTCTTCAGAAGACTCTGGAGTAAGACCAGGCAACCACACGGTGGAGGCAAAATAGCTAACAAGTAGAGGTGGTCCACAGAGAGCCTCAGACTAGCCAATTACCTAAGAACACCAGAGCCAAACCTAGACAGCCCTGACATTGGCTTACACAATGGTATCTCCCAGGAGAACTGAAATTAGCATATGAAACAGTGAGCGTCAGACAACATAAGCTGCCTTGATGAAACTCATCTGGTTGACATTTTGTTTTTGAAAAAAGAGGGAAAAGAAAACACTTTTAATTTTTAAAATTGTTTTTAATTTTTTAAGGATTTGTTTTTTCTTGTTTTGCTTGTTTTTTGTTTGTTTATGTGTTTTGTTCTATTTTCAAGATTTTCTTGATATTCTCTGCTTTCTTGCTGGGATATTATCATTATAACCAATAAGCATATTGCTTTTCTCTCTTATTTCCTTCAGATTTCTTATTGGCCTCTTTCCCTGCCCTTGCTTTACCTCTCTCTCTATTCTTGTTCTATTGGCTTAACTTTCTTTTTTTCTTTTCTTTCTTTTTCTCCACTTTTATTCTCTGTCCTGCTGTCTTTTTGTTTGTGTTTGTCTTTTTATTTTATTTTTTATTTTTAAACCATTTTCCTATTGCTTCTCTCTACCCTTATTTTTTTGCTTGCCTTTATTTCCTTTCAGGATAATTTATCTGCCCCTTTTATCTCCCAGTAACGTCTCTATTTTTTACTTTATTTAAAATTCTTTTTTTTTTTTTTTTACTATTAGCAATAATATCCATTTCTCTCTCTCTCTCTCTTTTTGTGCTTTAGCATTTGTGTTCTCGTTTCACTCTCTCAATTCTACTTTCTCTTGGGTTGTTTTCCCTGTGATTGTCAGGATATTTTGTAAGTTACCGTTTCGTTCCTGACAGTTTTGTTTTGCCCTGTCAGCACGTGTACAACAGCTCACACAGCGTGCTTGTGACTCAGCCTCACAGTTAGTCAACCTGAGAGGAGAGTCCGCCCATGAATGGGTCAACAACAATCTAGACCCAATCGTGACAGGAGAGCCCAAAGAACCCACAAAAGGGACACCCACAAAAGGGACGTGCCTGGAGCAAATAGCTCAGAAGTATAAAGAAAACACACCTCTGGGTCCCATTGGACATACACTACAAAATCCACCCCACAAGACTGGGAGACAGAAAATATGTCTAATTTACAGATACAAACACTAAGAGTCACTAAAATGGAGAGACAAAGAAACAACTCCCAAACTAAAGAAAAGGAAAATTGCCAGAATAAGACTTTGATGATATGGAGTTAAGCAAGTTATCAGAAATAGAGTTCAGAGTAATGGTTATAAAGATGCAGGGAAATTAATGAGAACCACAAGACACTTAATGGGAAGGTCCACGAACTTAGTGAAAGCATGAAAAAAGATATAGATACGATAAATAAGAACCAGGCAGAAAAGAAGAATACTATATCTTGATGTCAAGAATACGCTGGAAAGAATTAAAAGCAGGCTTAATGAAGCAGAGGACAGAATAAGTGAATTAGAAAAAAAGGTAGAAAAAAACAATCAGAGCAGCAGAAAGAAAAAACACTTAAAAAGCATGAGGACAGTTTAAGGGAACTTTGGGACAACATGAAGGAAAACAACTTTTGCATCATAGGGGTGCCAGAGGGGGAGGAAAGTGAGCAAGGGATAGAGAAACTGGTGGAGGTAATAATGACAGAAAACTACCCTAGGCTCGTGAAGGAGAAAGCCACACATGTTCAGGAAGCACAGAGGGTTCCAAACAAGAAGAACCCAAAGAGAACCACACCAAGACACATTATAATTAAAATGGCAAATGTTCAAGACAAGGAGAGAATATTAAGGACTGCAAGAGAGAGACAAACAGTGACCTACAAGGGAGCCTCAATAGAAACACTTCAGGCCAGAAGGGATTGGCATGAAGTTCTCAAAGTAATGAAAAGCAAGAACCTGCAACCAAGACTGCTTTATCCAGCAAGACTGTCATTTAAAATTGAAGATGAAATAAAGAGCTTCCCAGAGAAAAGGAGGCTAAAGGATTTCAGTACCACCAAACCAGCGTTGCAAGAAATGCTAAAAGGACTGCTTTAAGAAGAAGAAATATTGAGAGAAAGGTATATTGGCATAAAGGGAAAATGTGGCATTAAATAAGTATATATTAAAAACAACCCTAAATGTAAACAGAATAAATGCTCCAATCAAAAGACATAGGGTACCTGAATGGATAAGAAAACAGGACCCATATATATGCTGTCTACAAGAGACCCACCTGAGAGCAAAAGAGTCACAGAGGCTGAAAGTGAAGGGATGGAAAAAAAATATTCCATGCAAATGGAAATGAAAAAAAAGCTGGAGAGCAATACTTATTTGTGGCAAACTAGACTTCAAAATAAAGACCATAACAAGAGACAAAGAAGGTCACTACATAATACTAAAGGGATTAATGCAACAGGAGGAAATAACCCTTATAAATATATATGCACCCAATATAGGAGCACCTAAATATATAAAAAATTTCTTGGTGGACTTTAAGGGGGAGATCGATAGCAACACAGTCAT